GATAAATTCTAGAGAACATGAAACAGCCTTGCTGGATCTAGTGATCTCTTTCAAAGCAATAATCTGCCACTTGCTGCTGAGATGGTTAAAGCAGTCTGCCTTTCATTTGTTTTAGCAATAAATTTTATTAAATAATATTATATAACATACTTCAGTACGTATGTGCAAAAACAAGATATTATATAAATAAAATATAGCAATGTAGGGCTCCCCTTTATCATCTTAGATGATGGAGTATCTGGATGGTGGCCTCTTGGATCTTGAATTGTACAAAGATATGGGTCTTGAGCCATGGAAGGGTTAAAAAAGTAAACATTTCAACTTTTAACTCTGCAAATGAACTGGAAGTCGGTGAAGTTCTTTCAATAAAATGGGATATATTCTGTAGATTTGTTCTAGAATGTCAACTGAGATATCCAATGCAAAGATGATTCCATATACAAAATCTTGACGAGCAGCACAAATTTAGGAATACAGTACTTCTGAATATCTTTGAATGCCAGATAGAGATGGAGATCACATTGTGTTTAGAATTTCCTATACCCAAAGAATCTTTTTTTTTATTTCAGTTTGTCTGTGCAAGTAGGAAACAAAATATTTTTGGGCGATAATCAGTGCAAATATTCAGTTCTTGTAATGTGGCTTCATTTTTGTTCCTTGAATAAAAGGTTCCAGGGTAAAAACATTTATCTGAGATATTTATTTTTTTTCAGACTGGACACAGCCTTTAAATATCTTTTCTTCGTATTTTCAACAGAATCTTTTTTCTTCAGTGACATTAAATATGTCAGGTGCAAGAAACCAGGAGCCAGAATAGAGTTCAAAAAGCACTGCAAATTAATTTCATGTGTCCTATACACAAGAATCTGATCTACTAATGGTCAAGGCAAATTGGCATTAGATAAGAGTCAACTGACTTCAAGGGGAGCTGGGCTTAGGTCTCTTTTGGGACTCCAGACTGATTATGCCTTTGACTCCGCCCTCTGGGTCAACCTAAGTCATCTCCTACAAAATATTAATTTGTGGCAATTTTGAGATAGGTTTGTTCTGCGTCTATCTTCCAAAGTGTTACCAATTCCCCTCAGCTTAGTGTCATCCACAAATTTGATAAGTGCACCTTCAATCCCCTCAACTAGTTCATTTATGAAAATGTTGAAGAGTACAGAAACTTGAGGTACTCCATTGTCCATCCAGTTTTGGTCACCACGATGTAAAAAAGATGTTGAGACTCTAGAAAGAGTACCGAGAAGATCAGCAAAGATGATTAGGGGACTGGAGGTTAAAGCATATAAGGAACGGATGCTGGAATTGGGTATGTCTAGTTTAATGAAGAGAAGGACGAGGGGGGACATGATAGCAGTGTTCCAATATCTCAGGGGCTGCCACAAAGAAGAAGGAGTCAAGTTATTCTCCAAAGCGCCTGAAGGCAGGACAAGAAGCAATGGATGGAAACTAATCAAAGAGAGAAGCAACCTAGAACTAAGGAGGAATTTCCTGACAGTCAGAACAATTAATCAGTGGAACAACCTGCCTCCAGAAGCTGTGAATGCTCCAATACTGGAAGTTTTTAAGAAGAGATTGGACAGCCATTTGTCTGAAATGGTATAGGACAGTGGTAGCGAACCTATGGCACGGGTGCCAGAGGCAGCACTCAGAGCCCTCTCTGTGGGCACGCGCACCGTCGCCCCAGTCCTAGGCTTTCAGCTGGGTTTTATAAAACCTTTTCGCTTTAGGCCTCCGCCGCCATGTGCAAAAAAAAAAAAAAAGGTTCAATCAGTCAATTTCAACTTCTCGCGGGGAAAAAAAAGATCTTGCAAAGTTGGAATTGATTGATTGAACTTTTTAGTCCCACCCAGTCTGCCGTTACCACTGCAGCCACGCCCACCCAACTGGCCACACCCAGCCAATGGGCCACACCCACCCGGCACTCGACGATGCATAAGTGGGTTTTGGGTTGCAGTTTGGGCACTCAGTCTCTAAAAGGTTCGCCATCACTGGTATAGGATTTCCTGCCTAAGCAGGGGGTTGGACATAGATGATCTTCAAGATCCTTTCCAACATTATTATTGTTGTTGTTGTCCGTTTCCCTCCATGTAGATGTAGTTCTATTGAGGACTACATGATAGGTGCAGTTGATCAGCCAAATACAAATCCATCTGATGGTGATACTGCTATATGTGGTTGAAGGCCCTAAGAATTTCAATCATTGTACTGTACTTCACCCCTATGGCTGGGAAGCTACATAATGACAGGGACATGTCCTATTCCCCACCCCTGAAAAGCTAATGCATTTCATATTTCAGGCTTTCTAGAGTACTCTGCTTTCTCATCCTAGATGTTGTGCTTTAAGATGGATATAGATAAATTCATAAATTTACAACAGCAATAAAAGTAGTGCTGCTTTTGTTTTTTGTATACATGTTATTAAATTTTTTTTAAAAGAAGATAAACGCTAACAAAACTAATATAAAGGGAAGGAAGAAAGGAAAAGGCAAAAGAAAGACAAAAATACAAAAAGAAAAGAAAAAGAAATATAAAGTAACTGCTGCTTATTTTCTTTGCAGCAAATGAAAGTGTGATTACAAAATTATCTCTCCATGATTACAAAAAGAAAAGCTCTCTTTTTAATTATCTATTTTTTTCACTTAATCATCAAAAGCACAAATTATTTCTTTCTGTTTCATGCAAAAAAAAGTGTGTACGGACTTTCCAATCAGCAATAAATGCAAAAATGGTTTTTTCTCTAATCAAGGAAGTATATTTAGCCATCTCTGCAAGTTCCATCATCTTCACCAAATGAATTATCCTTTACTGTGGGTAATTTGAACCTTTCCACCTTTGAGCATATAATAATCTTGCTGCAGTTATCATATATAAAAACATAGTAAGAATTTGGTTTGAATGGATATGTTTACCATGGGATGAACCTTAAAAACATGATAGAAATCTCTTCGAGGCATTTCATGAAGAACAGGAAAAATATATCTTGTTTGCTGTCCTGCAAAGTATGAGTGGTTCAATGGCCTTGAATGACAGGGAGATGCATTTTAATTGAACATTTGGATAATCTTACCAACAGCATTGGGACTAATTATTTAGAGGCATGATCTGCTTTCCTTGCTATTAATCTCTACTCCAATGATGAAAAATCAACTTTTGTGGAATCTCTAAGCTCTGCATTTTCTGTGTTGAGCAGGGGGGTTAGTCAAGACAGTCTACAAAGCCTCCTCCAACTCTGTATTTCTATGGTTTCTGATCTTGTTTCAGAATGCCAAAATTCCCTAGAGCACAATTTGAAATGACTGATACAGGAACTAAACAATTATATTACAGTAAGGCAGATATAAGATATGCAACAGTGGACAAGCTGATTACAATCCTACTTCTATAAAAAAAATAGGGTTAATAATAATACTAATAAAGTTGGATGGAACCTTGGAAGTCATCTAGTCCAATGCCTTGCTCAGGCAAGACATCCGATACCATTTTGGACAAATGGCTGTCCAGTCTCTTCTTAAAAATTTCCAATGTTGGAGCATTCACAACTTCTGGAGGCAGGTTGTTCCACTGATTAATTGTTCTAACTATCAGGAAATTCCTCCTTAATTCTAGGTTGCTTTTCTCTTTGGTTATTTTCCACCCGTTGCTTCTTGTCTTGCCTTCAGGTGCTTTGAAGAATAGCTTGACTCCCTCTTCTTTGTGGCAGCCCCTGAGATTTTGGAACACTGCTATCATGTCACCCCTAGTCCTTCTCTTTATTAAACTAGACATACCCAATTCCAGCAACCGTTCCTTATAGGTTTTAGCCTTCAGTCCTCTAATCATCTTTGTTGCTCTTCTCTGTACTTTCTATAGTCTCAACATCTTTTTTTACATCATGGTGACCAAAACTGGATTCAGTATTCCAAGTGTGGCCTTACCAAGGCATTGTAAAGTGGTATTAACACTTCACGTGATCTTGATTCTATCCTTCTGTTAATGCAGTCTAGCACCGTGTTGGCTTTTTTGGCAGCTGCAGCAGACTACTGGCTCATATTTAAGTGATTATCCACTAGGACTCCGAGGTCCCTCTCACAGTTACTACTATTGAGCAAGGTACCCCCTATACTATATTTGTGCATTTGGTTTTTCTTGCCTAAATGTAGAACCTTGCTTTTTTCACCATTGAATTTCATTTTGTTAGATAGTGCCCAGAGTTCAAGTCTGTCCAGATCCTTCTGTATCTTAAGCCTATCTTCTGGAGTGTTGGCTATTCCTGCCAGCTCAGTGTCGTCTGCAAATTTGATGAGTTCCCCATCTATCCCCTCATCCAAATCTTTGATGAAGATGTTGAAGAGCACTGGGCCCAGAACAGAGCCTTGGGGCACCCCACTACATACTTCCCTCCATGTAGATGCGGTTCCATTGAAGACCACATGCTGAGTACGGCTGGTCACCAGCTACGAATCCATCTGGCGGTGATGCTGTCTAACCCACATTTTTCTATCTTATCAAGTAGTAGGTTGTGGTCTACTTTATCAAATGCCTTACTGAAGTCCAAGTAAATTGTATCCACAGCATTCCTCTGGTCCACTAATTTTGTCACTTGGTCAAAGAATGCAATAAGATTTGTCTGGCATGATCTGTTTTTGACAAAGCCATGTTGGCTTTTGGTAATAATGGGTTACAATGGGGCTGTAAATCCTGACTCACCCAGATGCCATTTCCTAGTGAATTTCACACATAGCTCTTGATTTTTATGATCTCTCTCACAACTAAGGTAGAACACCATGGATTTGCTTCTAATGGTTTAATGCCAATCTTTCCCAATTTGAGGACTACCAGTATTTAGAAAGCAGACTCTCCTGTGGGACTTATTTCAACCTGCATATTTTTCGTGCTAACATTGGTGAAAAAATATGCTCTTGGAATATTATTTAGTGATTGAAATCCAATGCTTGAAGGATAAAAATCTGGAAATACCCCATAAGAAGAAATGATATACAGAATTATTAGCATATTGATTTATTGTTAGTTGAAAGAGAGCAAAAGCAAGGATAATTTATATCAACGTAGATAATATCAAGTAAATGCTTTAAGAAAACTGAAGTCAAACCCTTTCTCATTTTACTTTGGACATAAATAATATTTAAAATATTTTATGGATATCCATTCAATTTTGGTTATTTTATCTTATAAAACTTACCCCAAGATGGGAAGGATTTGTCCTTCTGGGTTAAAGCTTTTTGTACAAAGGATTATTATATATATATTTTAAAAAAAATTCCTGGCATCTTAGAAAAAATAACTATTGGAAGATCTGACAGATAAAGACATTTACAACTTTCGTAAGAGAGTACACCTATGAACCAAAGTACTCATGAGGTACCCATTAGAGAATCTGTACTTTCCGATGTTAACACATGAATATTTTGGGGCATTCATCTGTCCTGTTGTCTTTGTGAAATAAAGACAAAAATAACCTGAATAACATTTCCAAGAGGGGAAAAAGAGGTTTAATTGTTGAGCAACTGCAATACTAATGCTTCATCTTCTGCAAGAGAAAGACCTGTATCTAATGGTAGAAAAGAGCCCTCTTGGTTAGGTTTCATCTTCTTCCTCTTTTGTGGTGTTTCCCCTTCTGATTTGCTTCCATCCAACTGCCGCTTATCCATTCCACGTTTGCTGTAGGAATAAATCATTCTTTTACTGTTGGCATTTAAGCCAATCAAAATCATATACGAAAGTAACTGGATTTAAATGAGAAAATGTTTAATTACAAATTAGAGGCAAACATGGTAATGATGTGCAAAGAGAAATTAAGTTTGGAGAATTCAAAACCTAAATTAAGAAATGGTCTCAAGGCTTCAGTAATAAGGTTTTAAAATAACAAACGTATGCTTAGAAATAAAATAGGGAGAAAATGAATTGACCCAGGAAAATGTGTCATTTATCAACCATCCCTGGTGAGTTCAATATCCCCAATTATTGATTGATGACAATCAACGCAAACACATATACTGCATAGAAATTGTGTGATTTACATAATGGGAAATGCCATCATATATTTACCCATTTAATCTCTTCTAACAATTATACTCATATAGTATAGATCCATTCCCTGGCTCGGGAATTCTGGGAGTTGAACTCCACACTAATTAAAGTTGCTGAAGTTGAGAAACACAAGAGTAGATCAACCCTCCTAGATCAGACTAAAGGCACATTTGATCCAGCGTCTTGGTGACCAATCAGCAGACCATATTAGCAGGACCTTCTGCCTCTAAAGATGGCTAGTTTATACCAAGAGAAGAGCTAGGAATTTTCCATCATTTCAAACTAGTATCATTCAATGGTGGACTGAAAATGTTCCGCTTAGACTTTAGGATGGAAATTCTGGCTTGGGACTGCTTAACGTGCTGCGACAATGGCTCGCTCTCTCCCTGTTTTTCAAAAGGTGACTCTCTTCCCTTCTACCCCACCCTTTAAAACATGTCTATTGTTGCACAGGCAGAAACAGCATCAGCTTTTAATAGGCAAAATCTGCTATTTGTACATTAATTTAAAATAAAATGCTTAAGGCCACTATACTGTATGTGCTTTATACAAAATATGAGTTGAACGGCTATTTGTATTTGGGAAAAGATTCTGCTTATAAGTTCTTTAAATGTGTTGATAAATAAACAAGCAAGCAAAATCTGCATAGAATAACACATAAATAGAACGTTTGTCTTTGCTAGCTCTGAGTTTTCTTTTTTATGTGTTACCCAGGCTGAAACAACTTCTCTCCATTGCTTGGATGTCAACGCCCATCGCACCTACTTGCCAACAGTCTGGAATGACAGAATACTGTAATCCAAAGCAGCCAGAAGGCACCAAGTACAAAAAGCTTTGGGCCAGTGAATTTCATTTAGTGATCTTGGGCAGCTTGTTTAGTCTCGCCATATTCAATTTAATCAGCACTAATCTGAACTTTAGTGCAAGATCGAAAGATGTGTAGAGCCCTGGCCCATAAAATCATCAAGAGTCGGATAAGACTGAATGGATAACAGCATTATCATCATCAGGCTGAACTAAACTTTAAATTTATTGTCCTGATTTCTAACAAAAAAGATATCACATACCATTGGAAACTACAGATTTAGAACAAAGTTTGCTCTGGATTTTAATGTAATGAAAAACATTTTTGAAGCAACCCCTCCCTCCACAAATGGATGGATGAATGATATATATATGTGTATGTATACATGTACACACGCACATCTATAAGATACTTAAATCAGGTTAATTAAAATAAATTTCTTATCCAATTTGCAATTCAGCCCATTATTTCTATCACATGAATGGATTTTAAACCAAGGAGAATTTCAGTTGATTGAAATTGCAAATAGAGCATCTGTTCATAATAAGATTAGTGATTAAAAGACTAATAAGAAAGCATAACAGATTCAGTATATGAACTAGGTCGCATTTAAAAGCCAATGCCTGAGTATCTTTAAAATGAGCAATCACATATATGTATCACTCTTTCTCTGAAATCTCCTGGGCAATCAATGCTATCAGAATGCATTTAGGCTTTTGAGAGGATGGCCAATCCAAAGTCATTTTTTTTTAAAAAAATAAATAAATATGTACTTAAGAGACCAGTCTGTGTTTTGATTATTCCCACTTAAAGGAACTGAGAAAGAGACCATGTTTGGCACAAGAAAAAAATGGAAGGAAGAACTGAACATCAATTGGGGGTGGGCAGGAATATGTGCTTATGCGGGGGGGGGGGGGGAAGAGTATATAGGTAACCCCCGACTTACAACCACAATTGAGCCCAAAATTTTTTGTTAAACAAAACAGTTATAAAGTGAATTTTGCCCCATTTTATAACCTTTCTTGCAACAGTTAAGTGAATCACTGCAGTTGTTAAATTAATAATACAGTCATTAAGTGAATGTAGCTTCCCCATTAACTTTGCTTGTCAGAAGGTCACAAAAGGTGATCTCATGGCCCCACGACACTGCAACGGTCATAAATATAAGTCAGTTGCCAAGCATCTGAATTTTGATCATGTGACCGTGAGGATGCTGTAATGGTCTTAAATGTGAAAAACAATCATAAGTCACTTTTTTCAGTGCTGCTGTAACTTTGAACAGTCACTAAATGAATTGTTGTAAGTCAAGGACTATCTGTACTAGAGAGGTTTACAAGAGATAACAGGAGCCCCACATTAAAAAAAATGATTTTTTTGACCAAGGAAGGTTCCAGTCATAGAATGATACCTAAATAACATGCAGTGCATTTAGATTTACATTTTACCTTCTTAAAGTAGCACACTTCCTTTAATAATCATTATCTGTACAACAAGTATTTTGTAAGATAGATCAGTTAAAGAAAATGACTAGCAAGAGCAAAAAATGAATAGTATACTTTAAGTGTGCTACTTTACGAATGAATAGCATACTTTAAATAATGGAAAATACATCACTCAAAAGAAGGTTGAGAGCTGTTGTCTCTCATTCCAGAGTATAGGATACAGAACAATGCAGCTAAGTTACTGGAAAGTAGACTCCATCAGAAAGGAAACATCATCATAATCTTAACAGTAAGAGCAGTTTTACAATAGAACCAATTAGCCGGAAAACTGGAAAGATCCAAGTTTTGTTGTGTTGAAATAGACACCCATCTATTTAGGTTGCTTTGATCTGATTCCTACATTGAGAAAAGGATTGGACTTGATAGCCTTAAATGGCCTCTTTTAGCTCTAACTCCTTACACCAGTGGTTCTCAACCTGTGGGTCGGGACCCCATTTGGGGTCGATCGACCATTTCATGGGGGTCGCCAAGCAAGGCTGTCGGCCATTTTTTTTGTCCGCCATTTTTTTGTCCATTTTTTTCCCCCTTTTCTGGCGGGTGCCTTACCTCCCTTGGGCTGGGCCAGCTGGTGGTCGGCCTGCTCCATCTCTGCCGCTTGCCAGCTACGCCTCGGCCGGCGCAGGGGGTGGAACCACGCATGCGCGGCGCTCCCGGGCAGGGAAAGTCCTCGACTTACGACCGGTTGGGTAGTCCTCAACTTATGACCGGTTTAATCCTCGACTTATGACTGGTTTAGTCCTCAACTTATGACCGGTTTAGTCCTCGACTTACGACCGGTTGGGGTCGCGGCATTAAAAAGGTTGAGAACCACTGCCTTACACAGAAATAAAAGGACTTATATGACAGATGGTACATCTCTTCAATAGACACACATTTCTGTATTTTGTGGGGAGGGTAGAAATAAATGTCACTTAGTTAATCCTGTTGCTCTCACTTAATTTAAGACCAACTAATGCACTTTTCTATGCAGTTATCTAACTTCATGCAGTTTAAATGCTGATTTCTTAAGGCTGCTGTTCTGCCAGCATAATGCAAAATTTACAAACAGCCTCTTGAGAATTGCTATTTTGCTAATCGAAGACTCTGGAGGGCAAACCACATTTTAATTTCCAAGGCTAAAGAAAGATTTCTAATGAAGATTAATTATTACAGACCCTTCTGTGGAGCCTCAGAACGACCTCCTCCTCACTTAGTGTCAGAACACTGACTGCACGCAGTGGGAATAATGAAAATATATTACATGATGTGCTAGTCTCTTTTTCAGCAATTTGTGCTCTGAAAATGTTCTCCACTCAGATTTCTACAAGCACGAAGCCAAATGCCCGAAGAACTAAAATCAAGCAAAATGTGGACAAAGCTATCTTAAACTGACCAAGGGAAAAAACTCCTTACCCCCCCCTCTCTCTCACACACACACACACTCACATACACACTCACACATATAGAGGCATCATTAAATGGCCATAAAATAAATAAATTCTGTTCTAATTCAATTGTATTCTTGTCTCTATAGAACTATGTATACTGTAAAGTTTTAGTAGGTTTCATTCCCATCCCAATTACATGCTACCGGTATCTTTAAAAAAAAAAGTTTGATACTAAGGGGCAGTGGTTCTCAATCTTTTTAATGCCGCGACCCCCAACCGGTCGTAAGTCGAGGACTAAACTGGTCATAAGTCGAGGACTAAACCGGTCGTAAGTCGAGGACTACCCAACCGGTCGTAAGTCGAGGACTTTCCCTGCCCGGGAGCGCAGCGCATGCGTGGTTCCACCCCCTGCACCGGCCGAGGCGTAGCTGGCAAGCGGCAGAGATGGAGCAGGCCGACCACCAGCTGGCCCAGCTCAAGGGAGGTAAGGCACCCGCCGGAAAAGGGGAAAAAAATGGCGGACAGTCTTGCTTGGCGACCCCCGTGAAATGGTCGATCGACCCCAAATGGGGTCGCGACCCATAGGTTGAGAACCGCTGGAATAGGGGTACTGTTCTGATCAGGGATGTGTGCCTTATGGATAGGCCTTTTTGTCTTTTATATGTTATTCATTGCTTATTTTTACTCGGTTTAATTAATTATATATTATTAACCCATTTTACAGAATTTAGTTTATCTATTCTTTTTTTCATGTAAAATAGTTACTTGTTTGGTATTCCACTAACTCCTTTATAGTTAGAGCTGCCTAGGTTTTAATGTGGCTACTCTGTATTTTTGTATATTCTGATTCATTTCTCTTTAACAAAAATAATCATTATTTTTTTAAAAAAACCTCTTTTAAATCAACTACGTCACATATGGTACAGAGTGATGTTTGAAAAGGAGGCAGCCCAACACTTTTTTGTTTGTGGTTAAAAGTGAAGATACTCAACTAAACCAAACACAGCCTACATTCATAATGCAGCAACTGTCTAATCCTAGCCTTGGTCAGCAAAGCATTATCTTTTCATTGCTTCAGGCACTCAACTTTATCTTTCTTTCTTTGGTCTATTGGAACTGCTGTTGTCTTCATTGTCATCATTCACCTCTACACAATGCACACCCTCCCTCCTTTATGGCGAATGAAATTAAAATGTCCTTTTAACGGTTGATACTGCTCAGCTTTTAAGCCACTGCTAGCTGTTTGTATTTTTTTCCTTTTCTTTCCCTCTTTGCTATCACACTGTGTTCGGGTTTTTTCTGCTACAAAACCCCAAAGCAATGACTGATTTAAAACGTATTTAACATATGTTATATATATCAAGGGATCAAGCTGGCTTAAAAGAGCAACTAACCCCGTTAAAACAAAATACTAAGGTCAACAGTAGAAATATGACATCTCGTGAAGATCAAGCCTTTCAGAAAAAAGAAAGACTTTCAGATAAACTCGATGCCATCTTTATGCCTTTCTAGTGTTTGACAATATTAAATTTAGGTTGCAAAACTAGACAGCTTAAGGTGGTTGTTTTGTTTGTTTTAGGAGAGTGTATATTTCTGAGTTAAACATCCTTCCAAAGAACTTAAGAAGCACCTAGAGCTCTAAATGAGCCTGAAATACTATGTCCAAACAAAGGACTCATTTTGCATTCAGTATGTTTTTCCCCCAAGTTAATTAAAGATAGCAACAGCAATAGCACTTAAGACTTATATACCTCTTCACAGTGTTTTACAGCCCCCTTTAAGATTGCCCCTAACAATCTGGGTCCACATTTTATGGACTTTGGAAGAATGGAAGGCTGAGTCCACCTTGAGGCAGCAAACTGCTGGCAGTCGGCAGAATTAGCCTGCAATACTGCGTTCTAACCATTGCGCCACTACAGCTCTTTTAATTAGATATATTAAGGTTTATGGTTTAGCAGTACCTATTTATCCTCACATACTAGCCTCAGTGCAAATACAGAACATTACTTTAAAAAATAATAATAATTCAAGGATTTAAAAACAGATTAACCTAGGAATCCATCAAGAAAAAACATCAGGTCAACATCAACAGCCAGAGTTGAAACTAAATAGGAGCTGGTTATACAAAGAAAAGAATGCCTTTGTCTTTCCAACCAGATGCCGTCCAAATGAGTTAGATTACAACTCTTTTATAATGGCCCGTGAGATGCAACATATGTTGTTTAGGGATTGTGAAGCTGGGCTCTTACTGCATCTGAAAGTGACCAGGTTTGGATTGAAGGTTGGAGTAATTAGTTGGAACATAAAAATAAATTTTTATTCTAATTCGGGGCTGTGTGTGGAGGTGTTAGATCTGTTGTCCGTTGGGCTAGTAATCTGCCTCTAAGAGAACCAGAGCAATTAATAACACCGGCTTGATAAAATAATTTTGATTGTGATATCCTTCTCGACCATTCAGAGGGGGAGAGAGGTCTAATCATAGCTCTCAGTTTTGTGTGGTGGTTCTGGGCTCAACATTCACCTCATTCCCATTTAACATCTACACAAAGTCACTGGTCAAAGTTTATTTTTTGGCTTAGGGTTAAATATCATCAGTACACTGATAATATCCAGTTATACATCTCTATTCTTGGATGACCAAGTGATGCCATCAAGTTTTTTCTCAGTGTCCGGAGAATGGAGGGGTAGATAAGAGGGTCTCCCATAATTAGTTTTGAATAGTTCTCAGAACTGCCTTGAAAAGTTCTCAGAACTTATAACTGATCCAGAATGCAATGGCACGGGCAACTGGTTCTGAGTGAACCTTGACCTCCATGCATAAATCTGGATTGTTTGTGAGACCATCTCTCTCCAAGATAGAATAGGGTGGACATGTTCTAGGTCACTTATATTAAACAATGTAATCTTAGCACTCAGGAAACATGCCTTCTATGTCAATGCACCTTCCCTATAAAACTAAATATCCCACAAGATATGGATGGTCTTGATTCTGCCAGTGAGCTGTTTTCTCTCTCAGACATTAGGTAAGACAATTTTAAAGAGTTTTAACTGTGCAGATATGTAAATAGTCTTGGACATGATGCAGCTGTAGTTTTTGTCTACCTTGAATGCTACCTTGAATCCCACTGCCCGTTGTACAGCAAATTGAATATCTGGCTGGCTAAAATTCTGTCTTAATTTTTCTCTCTTTAACTGTAGGTACACTACGGTTAACTACACAATGAGGATAAAATGTTTACAAGGCTGTATGAGCCTTTGAATATCAAATATGGCTCATCTTAAAAGAGAAACTGAAGGCATTTTTAAACCATTTCATCAGTCAAATTGTTAGCATCAACCTTCAAATCACAATGTTTTCCCCAAATATCCATTAAATGATAAATTCAATTACTGCCTATAATTAAAAAATATCTACTTAGCAAAAGTTATAGTTAGGAATTCAGCCTGAAAAAAGTAATCTTGAAACAGCTGAACTGCATATTCCATTTAGAAGTGAAAACTAAAAAGAACAGCCAAGTATGTAAAAGATTAATTGAAGTAATGAAAAGACTGATCAGAGCTTTGTTCCAAATCGACATGCCTTTTCAAGAGCGTTGAAGTACTAGAGATATTAAAAATTCAATTTAACTTGCCTGATGAATATTTAGCTCTGCTGCTACTGTCCCCTGTGCCTCTTCCCACCTTCTTACTTAACATTATGATTGTCTTAAATAAGCAATACAATGAATGACACCAGATACCTAAAAAATTCATTTCACTAAGCTTGTGGAGGGATATGACTTAAAGGTGATTTGTTAAACAGATATAAAATAGTGGATTATACATACCTTTCATCCCTTAAGGGATGAGATAAGGAAAAAATTGCTACCTGTGGTTGAAAAGACGTTTTCTAAAGCTTTCTATAATCAAGACAAAGCATCAACCTTTTCCCAACATCATTAGCACAAAGTTGTATTTTCTTCTTTTCATTACATACATTATAAAGAAAAAAAAGATCATTTGTTTTTTCTTGGTTTGTATTTTAATTTTATTTTTTTCACTAATATTAAAGATTATCTTGTTAACTGTGTATAAACTAAACTAAATAAGTAATTACATTTTTTTTTAAAAAACCCATACATTTAACTTACTTCACTATATTAAAAGCAAGTGCGAACAAATTGGGTGAGTGGACACCTTCGGCCACCCTATAAGACACGGGGGCATCTGTGGGGCAGTGAAAAAGATGGAAACTATGACTCCTTCACAAGTCTTTTTTTTATAAAGGCTTGGATATGCATTGCATGAAAACGAGGAATGAGACTTGAATTCTGTCCACTCTCATGCTTTTTTAAATCCACACAGGAAGTTCTGGGATTTTTCTTGACACATATTTCCAGGGGTCCCAAAACAAGACACAACAGAAGAAGAGAAGCAGAAGGGAGGGGAATGTTATCCTGCTATGGCTATGCTTTTTCCTCCACTGCTGCTGTACAGGTGGTTCTTCACTTACAACAGTTTGTTTAGTGATTATTTGAAGGTACAATGGCACTGAAAAAAATGACTTATGACCATGCTTCACACTTACAATCATTGCAGCATCCCCATGGTCACGTGATCAAAACTCAAGACACTTGGCAACTGACTCATTTTGCAATGCCCTGGGGTCACGTGATCCCTTTTTGTAACTTTCTGACAAGCAAAGGCAATGGGGAAACCAGATTCACTTAACAACCGTGTTACTAACTTAACAACTGAAGTGATTCATTTAACAACTGTGGCAAGAAAGGTTGTAAAATGAGGCAGAACTCAATTAACAACTGTCTCAACTATCTGTATGACCAGCCATGGTCTCAGTTAGCAGTGGCAGCACTGCCACCCTCCAATTCACTCAGATTCTCTTGGAAGTGGAGAAGGAGAAGGCAGACAGCCAGGTGAAAAAACTTTGGAGGCCCTGAAAGTTGTTCTCCTGCATCTTTTGTGTCCAATAGTCATAATCATAATCATAGGGGAGCCAAAGTACATACAGCTTATGCGCAGAATCCATCTTACCACTAACATTTGTGTTATCTGTGTATATACCTGCTAGATAATCAAGCCATAAATTTAAATTAGCAGCCAGGGCTGTTCTGCATTCTCTTGTCCATAGTTGAATAGTCTAAGCTAATTGGCTGATCTAACTGCAGCAGAATGAAGGTAAGTTTGATTGATTGCTTAGACTCTGGTAAGCTAGAGAAGAAGAAGAAGAAAAACAAAGAAGGAAAGTAAATTAAAAGGTCAATGCAACAAAATACCTGTGGCTTTTGGGAAGAATTTCTTGTTCCTCATCTTTGGGGCCATCTGGATCTGGAAGTGTACTTGGATCAAATTCCTCATCACTGTCACTGTGATCCAGAAGAGCTACAGTGTCCTCTTCAATCTACGTAAAGATTTGCAGAATTAGATACCTTCATGCATTATTTATATCTCTGTAAAGTTCCAAGAAAAATCCATTCAATGTCTTTTGAGGTATACTTAGGAAAGGATCTAATCAAGCTCTTAAGAAACTGCCCTTATATATATTTTTTCTCTCTCATACCATCACAAACATGCATGCAAGGCTCTGCAATTTCTTCACACAGCTGCATCTTTTTCTGGGACTGTGCAATTGCTAGCCACAGCTGCTGCCTGGTTCTAGGAAAAGGTACTTTTGGTTTAAGAGTTGCAGACAGATTTTACGTGCACACAGCAGTGCATAATGATGTATCTTTCTGCTTTGAAGGTTCCCACAATATTACTATTATAATCACACTTTATGTTTTAATGCCAGCAGAAAACGGGGGTGGGGGTGAGGTGGGGGGGAGGAAGGGGACTCCTCTTTGTACACTGGAAGCAAAAACTTGGATCACGTTTTTCTATGTTTGCCTTTAACCAGCACGCCAACACCAGAAATATATGTAAAAAGGCAATACAAAGAGACTTCAGGAAGATTGAATACAACATGGAAACAAACACAGAGAGATTATATCTTGTAAGAGAAAAAATGTAATTTTTTTGACTTTCGCATTAAACACACACATAACGTAGTTGTATTGTTTTATATTACGCATATACTGTATTATTGCTGTTAAAAAAATAACCCTTAAAAGTTGACTTTGTGATCAAACATTTCAGCAATCTGTGCTCCTCAGGCTGAATGGTGTCTGCTAGGGAAATGAGCACACGGAGGAAACCGGCTATGTAACTGCGTGGAATTTTTCTGTAACTTTGTCTACACCACTTTTTAAAATCCTCTTTTAATACTGAAAAAAACATTTAGGAATATGAACAAGAAAATGGGTGGGAGTAATTGCTTTAGAGGGATGTAAGGTAGTTGCATTAATTTAATAATATTATTATTGGATATTTTGTTCCACCGAAGGAACATTTTATCATGGATGAGAGGTCTATGCATCACGAGGTGCCCTCGTGATGCAAAGCGCTATGCTGAACAGGTGCAACCATATCAGACAGGTCTCAACTGAAGAGGTAGACTAAATCTGTTGTAATACCAGTCATGAGTGGAACCCTTGGAGTGCTAAAGTGCTTCCTTGATATCTGAAAATGCTAAAGGAGCTCCATGAAGAATGCCTCTCCCATAAACAATATGGTGAGATGTAATTTACAGAAACCATACCAAATTTGTTATTGCTTGGGTCAACAAGGACTACACTAGATATTGGAGTAAATATATAATAATAAATACTATAATATGTTATATTGTATTATTAATATATTAAATACTAGCTGTACCCAGCCACGCGTTGCTGTGGCTCAGTCTGGTAAAAGCGTGTGTTGCTTTTACGTCCAACAGATGGTGCTGATTTTCAAAAAAGCATGTTTTTACCTGTCACAGGTGTGACATCTATATAATATAGGTATATAAAAACACGCATGTATTCAAATGCAATACATGCGTGTTTTGTGTCAAAATTTCAAAGAAATCGGTGAAGAACTTTCGGAGATTTAAGATTTTGAACAAACAAACATTTACATTTTTATTTATATAGAGATTATAATACAGATACTATTTATTTTATTACAATAAATACTTGAAGATAATTGGCACTGACAAAATCACCATCAGACTATTGCAAAAGGCAGCCTGACGTGAAACAGCTTACATCCTGCGATGATAGCTTTAACACCATCAAATACCATTTGATCAAGATAGGTGGATAGGTGGATAAAAATGCCAAATCCAGTCTGAACATGTGGCTGACCGTGCAACCAAAAATAATAATAATAAAGAGTCTGGATGAAGAAGATCTGTAGGAGAAGACCAGGCTGAGCCTGAGAGCAGGGTCAAATGCATCATCAGTACACTTCCGAAAGAGACCTAAGTCCCCCTTGAAGTCCATTCTCACATCAACTTGCCTTGACTATTAGTAGATCAAATTCTTGTGCATGGAATAAACTCACAATGCTTTTGAACTCGATCCTGGCTTCTGGTTTCTTGCACCTGACAAGTCACTACTAAATACCTGCATATGAAGGCCAACATCAGCTAAAGAATGGGCAGCTGTGTATTCACATTTTTATGTATATTGTTATCGTTAGCTGGGCACCACAATCAGCCTTCCATAGGTTTGTCAAGGACGCTTGGTGATGCTGTGATGTTACCATGACAAAGGAAAATTATTTTTACCTCTTTGAAAACAGTTTGAGTTTGTATAATAAGGAATTGGAAGTTCAAGGAAGAAATCATAATTAGATTTATGTCCCACCTTTCTCCCTAGCCTAGATCTTGAAGTGGTACCATATATACATAGTAACAACTCATAATAATAACCTAATGATGAAGGCTAGGCAAAGAGAGAGTGGCTGGCTCAATTATCCATTGAGTTTCCAAGGCTGAATATCATGTCTCATCTTACCACATCACTGTTACATTAACAATTATGTCACACTGATTCCAGAACAGCATATTCTACTATGGGGAAAAAATATATAACCTGAATGTTGCCATGGCAAGGTAGTCCTAGTTTAGCAACCACAACTGGGATCAAAGACTCAGTTGTTAAGCAAAGTGGTCACTAAGTGAAGCTGCAACTGTACTTTATAGTCCTACTTCAGCTTTCTTTTGCTTTATGAACCTGCAAAGGTTGTAGATCTGGGATTGGTTATGAAGTTATTTTTTCATCACTTTTGTAACTGCAAATGATCACTAAATGAAGCAGTCACTAAATGAAATCTGTCTTAGTTTTTGAAGGATCAGTTCAAATATATTACAATTCTTAGGCAAATTGGAGCAGATCATGAAATCTTCTTATAAGATGTGACCCATACTCACCTTAAAGAAGGTCAAACTTCTTTCTTTTCAGGCAGATATTAATGCTGTTTCTCTAGAGTGTACTATGGTTTACGAAATGCCAATTTTTCATCTACAAATAGATTATGGCACCAAGCTGCTGATTCATTTGTCTTTTTATTTCAGGAACACCTGACAAATCCTTATACAGTGTAAAGAGTGTAACTTAATTTATGGTAGGCAAGATGAAATACATTTGGTGATTGATGACTTGTATGTAGCTTTCATAAAAATAGAAAACAAGGCTTCTTATTTCCAGGAGGATTACATTTGGAAATAATGGAAGAAAAGAGTGACCAAAGGACCAGCTGAGACTGCACCCGATGGTGCTCTGGATTCCGTGTTTACAGCTGAAACATCTTAAATTAATTTAGTGAGAATGATATCTGAACTGAGACATAGCTGTTTTATTGCTCAGATTCTCTCCCTGCTAATATCCATCAACAACATCAGCTTGTCTCACAGAAGCCAAAGAAGTAACTATTTGGGGGGAAAAATAGAAAATAATGCAACCTAATCTGTTCCAGAATTCTGCTACTGTTCGTTAGCTGTTGAGTGGTTTGATCTTAGGGAATATTAATCAATATAGGGATCTTTAGAACCACAATGACATCATGACATGGGTCACACAACTTGCTTCCCCTGCAGATGCCACACTAGTATTCCAACAGCATCCTTGACTTTTTCAGGCATAATTTCTTCTGTTGATCTTGTATCATTTTCCAGGGATCCCCAACCTGTGAGCCGTGGCCCACTACTGGGCTGTGGCCTATTGGCCACCAGGCCACATGAGTGGCTGGCTAGTGTGCACGTGTGTGCGCGCACTCAACCCCTAGTCACACTAGCATCATTGCCAGCATTACATGGGCGCTAGCGTCACTGCCAGCATCACACAGGTGCTAGCGTCACAACCAGCGTCACTCATGCAGCCCCATTCACGTGTGCGCATGAGCGAGTAAGGGCATCTCCCCCTCCCATTCCCTCCGGGCCACCAACCCAAAAAGGTTGGGGACCTCTATCATACTCATTCTTCCCATTCTGGACAGAACCTGCAAAATTCTCCATTTAACATTAACACTGAATAAAATGTTATGAAATAAGATTCCAACTTTTGGGGAAACTACCTTACACTCTTCATATCTCAAAAATCAAATTTTCTGTACCATTATAATTAATTAAAAATTGCTTTATCATTAGTGTAATCCATGCAATAAATTTACTATTCTACTTAAGAATGTGCCATTATTGCCACCTAACAAGCATCTCTATTCAATGAAAACAAATTTCTAAAAAAGAGAAAATGAGAGTTAAGAAAACTGTTACTCATACAGAAGATGCATTTCGCAAACCCTTCTTCAGTGTTTGTAAAGATGCCTCTCTTCTAGCACACTTTTGCTAATCAGCTTTAATATTAATTTAAATGTGCGTTTTAACATTTTTCATGGAAAAATCTATGTGGTCATTAGGAGCGGAAAGTGACTTGGTGGCACATAATCAATTAATCAATGTCTTAGATTTTTAAAATATCTGCAAGTCATACAAATCAAATAAATAATACAGCTAAAGAACAGCTGTAGCAGAGCAAAATTAAAATAAAGGTCTACCTCAAACATCTAGTTCTGTTACTAACTGGCTGGGGAATTTTGGGAGTTGAGGTCCACATATATTCAAATTGCCAAGGTTGAAAAACACTGGTGTAGAGTTTCAGTAACAGATAAAATAGAGGAATTGAATGCAAGTGTCACAGTTTAATTTTCATAATACAAAGTCAAGATTGGGAATTAAGCATTGCAGTCTGTGTGTTCAGGCACATGTATAAGAAAGGTATATGTGGGTAGGTGCAGGGTTGTCATAAAATAAGATGCCAAAAATGGAACTAAATGACAGCTGGCTTTCTCAAGTGTGGGATGAAATGATCACAAAAAAGTTATCAAAGTATATAAAGTCAGCAGATATTAAACAAGTACAAAACTTGTTCTTCCAGTAATGGCAAACATTCAAAATATTTACAACAGGAGAAGCCTGGCTTGCTTCTAAAAGTTCTAGTGGGTGGAATAGTAAATATCCATTCAGAGTCCTATTTATTCTAA